ACCAAGTATTGGTGTATCACAGCCCCTTTCCCCTGAGGCATTCGCCTCTAGGAACGCCAAACAGTACAGTATCACATGTCCGAAGACATTTTTCTTTTCTTACTTGGACTCACTCGAGTCTGAGTGACCAAGAATAAGGGAATCACAGCCCCTTTCCCCTGAGGCATCCGCCTCTAGGAACGCCAAACAGTACATATTGGGCTTCCCAATAAGGGTATTCAAGGTCCCTCTTAAAGGATCCTCTCGTACCAGACTCTACTTCCGACGTCGGGGCAGTTGGTTTGACCTCCTTCCCGCCATGTTATCCCCCCTACCATCGGCAACATCCACTTCTGAACACATCCCCCTTGCTTTCCTCTGTCTGTTGTTTATATTTTTAAGTATTTTTTTATTGATTTCAGAGAGGAAGGGAGAGGGAGAGAGAGAGATCGAAACATCAATGACGAGAGAGAATCATGGATCGGCTGCCTCCTGCACGCCCCCTACTGGGGATGGAGCCCGCAACCCGGGCACGTGCCCTGACTGGGATTCGAACCGTGACCTCCTGGTGCGTGGGTCGATGCTCAACCACTGAGCCACGCCGGCTGGGCTCCCTCTGTTTTTCTGTTACCTGCACTGTTAGTTAAGCTTCTGTTCCCTCATTATCTACTCAGCAGGCATTGAGAAAACCTTTAATTTTCATTCAATCAAACAGGAGCTTTGTGCCACTTGGCGTAAGCCAACTGCCAAGCCTTTTATGTCTTGAATTCAGGGTTGCCACCTTAATTCCCACGTTGGAATGGGAGGACGTAGCCTTGAGAATAAACATGGGGTATTAGAGCTGAAAGGAATCTAAGAGTCTGTATTTTTAAAGCTAAGAAATCTGCTCAGCCAGTGTGGCTCAGTGGTTGAGCGTCGACCTAGGAACCAGGAGGTCAGGGTGTAATTCCCGGTCAGGGCACATGCCCGGGTTTTGGACTCGATCCCCAGTAGGGGGCGTGCGGGAGGCAGCCAATTAATGATTCTCATCATCGATGTTTCTATCTCTCCCTCCCTCTCCCTTCCTCCCTGAAATCTTTATTTGTCAAAGTATTATATAAGTCTCCTTTTTTTCCCTGTTGAAGAATATATTTTTCAATCAACAAAGCCTTCCTGTTAAAATGTATGCAAGTCAACAGAAAACACGGTGATAATTTTAAAGTACTTGTTGGGGGGCAATCGCAAAATGTCAACCAGGCTTTTTTTTTTTTTTTTTTTTTTTACCTTTTTCAAAATGAAAGGAAAACTTATTCAGACAAACAAAACCTGAGAGATTTCATCACTAGCAGATTGAAAATCAAGAAATGTATTTTAAAAAGCCCTTCAGAGTGAGGAAAAATTATATCAGATAAGAATTCAAATGTAAATAAATGAATAACTGGTGTCAGAAGTTTTTTTTTTAAGTTTTTTTAAAAAGAAGAATCAAGAGGAAAAAAAAAGTACTACTCTAAAAATTAATGAAAAGCCATTAATTAACTTAAAGCATGCATGCCAGGCAGCCTTCTTAAATAAAACATCCTGTTTGGGAGGACTTCAAAGGTTTTTACCCGCCTTCCATTTTTAGAATTAACAACAACCCAACACCAGGGCTGCAAAAGGCTGCCATGAATCTAGAGAGTAGGGAGAGGACTGAAGTCCTTTACCCGGGGCTGGAGCCTATGCTATGTCCAGGTACTTATAGATTACTAGAGGCCTGGTGCATGAAATTATTGCACTCGGGGGGTCCCTCTGCCCGGCCTGTGCCCTCACACAGTCTGGGAGCCAACGGGCCTAAGCCGTCAGTCCGACATCCTTAGCGTTGCCACGGAGGTGGGAGAGGATCCCGCCACCACCGCTGCGCTTGTTAGCTGTGAGCCCAGCTTCTGGCTGAGCGGCCCTCCCCCTGTGGGAGCACACTGACCACCAGGGGGCAGCTCCTGCATTGAGCGTCTGCCCCCTGGTGGTCAGTGCACGTCATAGCGACCCGTCGTTCCTCCGTTGGGTTGATTTGCATATTAGCCTTTTATTATATAGGAGGATCGGCAGGAGAGCAGCCATTCAATCGGTGGCGCTGGAGGCAGAGGCAGAAGATCCCCAGTGTTGGCGGGCAATGGGTGCATCACTGAGCTCCACCCAGCAAGCCACTTCAACTCCCTGGGCTCCGGGGAACGGCTTGTGAACTAGGAGTTGCTGTTGGTTCCCTTTCAAGGTAACATTTTGGAAACAGCACGTGCAATTCGAAGAAAATGCACCTTCTGTCCTCGCTGGTTTGGCTCAGTAGATAGAGCATCGGCCTGCGGACTGAAAGGTCTCATGCCTGGGTTGCGGGCTCGATCCCCAGTTGGGGGCGTGCAGGAGGCAGCCAATCCATGATTCTCTCT